TTATTGATCGAAATGCCAAAACTTAAGAAAATTCTTGTTACAAAAAAAAAAACAAAGAACAAAAGACAAAACGCAAGAATATTAAAAATTAATTTTACAAAATCTATTCTTAAAAACAAGAAAAAATGATTTTTGCATATTGATCTGTGATTCTTAATAGGATCCTATAAAATGGTAATGGAAGAACGTACTCAAAAGTGCTCAATTATTATTATCAATGATACAAATATAATTAAAATACAATTAGAATTTTATTTGTTTTTTATTGTTTTTGCAATAATCAAAAAAAAACAATTAAAAAACTCATCTTTAAGAATGACGAAAATGATAATTTATCCATTATTAACAAATAAAGAATATTAGAGATGTGCGGCTGTTAAATTGAAGCTTAGTTAAAACTATTAAAGCAAAAATGATCAAAATTATTTGCAAATATAGGATTAAAAATGTTTAAAAGAATTTCGAATAAATGTATGAATACTATGTATATGAAAAAAGAAAGATGAATACTCATTCTTAATCAAAATAGAAATATACAATGTACTTTTTCTTAAATAAAGAATTGAAAATTGAAGCAAGACTTATTGGAACTACAATTTAGCGATTCGTATTAGATATTGCGACACTGCAATATTTCCAAAAAAAAAAATGAAAAATTTAAATATTCTGAGTTAAAAAAATATTAATAAATAAATTGCGAATTTTTATGTAAATATATATTATGTTTTTTAGAATATTTTTCAAAAATAACATTTATAAATATGTTATATATTTTTCTCCTGATATTAATTTTATTTGAATACTTGAATTATTCATTATAATTGAATATTATAATATATAATATTATATATATATAATATATAATATATATTCTGAATAAAATTTTTTAAATTATATATAACATGTAAAAATTAGATTAATATAACATTGAAAGCTAGAAAATTTTTGAATAGTTTATTCAGAAAATAAACTTATCAAAAACAATATAAGAATATCCAATAATATTGAAATAATATATACAAAATATTATTATATGTTTATAGAAAAAAAATAAAATTTTTTTTCATTTCAATTTTCAAATAAACATTTATTAATTTATCAAAAAAGCACAAGGAAACTTTTATATATTAAATATATTTTATAATATATTTTATAATATAAATATAGATAAATTTACGTCATAAAATTACTGACGTTTTGCAAATACTATATAGTTTCTATTTATAAAATATATATAGTTAATAAAATTTATCGTATAAAAGACAAGAAACATATGATACTCTATTGTTTTTATTTTTCATATGATAAATTTTATAAATTTCAAATAATAATGATTTTTGGATAAGTAAGTTTTTTTATTGAAAATATCGAGTTATATCAATTGACGTAAAAAATATATGATTCCATTTAATAATTATATATTCATATATTCTCTATGGGTTCTTGTTAAAAAGCTAATAATTAGAATATATATCCTTTTTTGAAATCATTCAACTTTATTTGAAAAATTTTTTGCTATCAAAAATAACAATAGCATAAAATTGAGATGATGATATCTAGTGATTTACCTTATATATTAAATCTTATATACCTTTATTTACCTTATATATTACCTTATATGAAGAACTATATGTTCGTAAAATATTCATAAAGTATGAATAAATATTGATTTTTAATATATCGATATATATACTTTGTCTAAACATAAGATGATTGTAAAACATATTTTTTTAATTATATATTCCTTAATTTTATTTTTCTATATAGATAAAATATTTTGAGTTAAGATTTATACAAAAAAAAATTAATGAATTAAAATAAAAATAAAAATAAAATAAAAATAATTTTTTCGATAATTTTTAATATTTATATTAATATTTAGAATATTTATATATTGAATCGTATATTAATACTAATACTTATATCTATTTTAAATTATTATTTAGAACTAACTAATTTAGAATATATAATTAAATATATAGAATAATATATAATTGAATCATTTCTAAGAAGTATATCATTTTTTCTTCAAAAAGATGGATATCATACATTCACATACACATAAAAAATTTCCAAAAAAATACGATTGATCAAATTTCTGAATAATCTATATATATAACTATATCTATATACTAATATAAATATAATTAAAAAGATATAATTAAATCTTCATCTATATATTTTCTTTTATTATACTATACTATATTATAATTTACTATATTATACTATATTATAATTTTTATTATTACTGTTCATATAAAACAAGATAATCCTATTCTATTTTTATGCTGTTATCAAATGTGTAGAATTTATAATTGAAGTATAGAAAAAAATGTCATATCTCAAATTACAAACGTATATTAATTTTTTAATCTATTTAATATTTACATATTATTGAAATATTTGCAGTTGGTATTTTTTCATTCTCTCATTTTCTTAATATTGAAACTATTAAAATCGTCTAAAATAAAGAAATTTAAAATTAAAACAAAGAAAAAAATCATAAAATTTATTATTAATTTATTAATATTAAATTAATAATAATAACAATAAATTTTGAAATTAAAAAATTAAAATTGAAATTAAAATTCTCTTAAAAATTTATTATTCGATAGAAAATATAAAATTTTGCACGAGAGAATAAACAAATGAAAACATTCTATATCAATATCAATCAGAAATAGCATTTGAAATGATATAAATATTCATAATAATATTCATAATAATATATATATAATTCATAATAATATAAGCAAAAATATTAATATATTATTAATAATAATATTAATAAAAAAAAAATATTAATTATTTATTATATTAATCAAATAAATAACTTTAAAAAATTGTGGAAATTAATCTATTTTTAATAATTTTAATATTTAATATTATTTTTTGTATTTGTAATAATTTGTAACAGAATTTGAATTCAAGATGAAAGAATTTAAAATGATTACAATATGATGGCTCTTATCAAATAAAATGCTGTATTATTCAAATGTAATGGACACAATATTACAAACATTATATGCATTTTATTTATAAGTGGCTGATTATTTGAAATTAAAATTATGGTTATGATAGTTGTACATATAGACTATTAATGTGCCAAATTTAATTAAAATTGGTGATAATCAAATCTGAGGTTCCCTTCGTTAGTAAATTGGAATGCAGAATAATAATAAATAACTTATGTATCGATAAATAGTACAATAAAATAATAATAATAATAATAATAATAATAATAATAATAATAATAATAATAATAATAGTAGTAGTAGTAGTAGTAGTAGTAGTAGTAGTAGCAGCAGTAGTAGCAGTAGTAGCAGTAGTAGCAATAGTAGCAGTAGTAGTAGTAGTAGCAATAGTAGCAGTAGTAGTAATAGTAGTAGCAGTAGTAGTAATAGTAACAGTAGTAGTAGTAATAATAGTAGTAATAGTAATAATAATAGTAATAATAAGATAATAATAGTGTAGTAGTGGTAGTAATAGTAATGATGATGATGATGATGATGATAGTAATAATAATAGTAACAATAATAACAATAATAATAATAATAATAATAATAATAATAATAATAATAATAATAATAATAATAATAATAATAATAACATAAAAATAATGGTATTAAATATTACACAATTTACGGAACGATTTTTAAATAACTACAACCATTGACAACAATATTCGTGCGTATCGCGCTTAATGTACTTGTTTAATATAACATATGTACAGAGTACCCAATAAATTCTATTATCATTCTATTACATTCGTTTTTTGAAAATAATATTTAATATAAATTTTTAATGACTTTGATTTGAAATTTGATTATATTACATTAAAAAATAACAACACAAAATTTATGCAATAAATGAATACTCTGTTTTAATACATACATACATACACATGTACATAAAACACTTATAGAGTCTAGAAATCATATTTCTGAACTATTATTGAAAAAAAATTTATAATTAATTAAACTAAATAGATATTTATTTAATTTTTGAATATTTAGTTAATTTTTTAATTTTATATATTTTTATTTTCTTTTAATTTTATATATTTTTATTAAATTTTCTTTTTAATTATATTATCTTAAATTTGTGTAAAATTTAATTTTAACAATCACATTATTATAATTTATTCTGATATTAATATTAATTTTTGAAATATGATATCTTGACCTTTTTATTTGCATACATTTTAATATTTTACTTCTTTTCTGTACAAATATCTTTATATAAAATATTTCTTATCCTGAAATAACACTTTACTATCATCTCTTTTTCCTATTTATATATTTGTATTTATATGCAATGTTTTACACGGCTCGGTTTTTTCACGCTATAATAATAAATCAATAATTAAAATTTAATTTTTAAGTAATTTTGTTTGATTATTCGTAAATTTTTGGAATATACGAATAATCAAAACAACATTTCCTATTATGATAATATTCTTATTTTAATAAGATTAAGTAAAATATATATATAATAATATAAGAATTTAAATATAAAATTAATAAAATTTAACAAATAATTTTTTACAAAAAACTAAACAAAAAAACAGTGCATAAAAAGAATTTGAATAAAAGAAAAGAGCACAATGATATTCACTGTTTTTTTCTATCTAAAACTATATATAACTAGATTAAAAACTATTAATAGAGCTTTCGGAATATGATTTAGTAAAGCCCCATGGACGGATTATTCGTACCATCATAAATTAGCACGGTTCGGACGAATGTGAGCGTTGACAAAGGTTTTTTGATGAAGGCACGATTTTTTCCAAATAGCAAAGTATTATTTCTTGAACCTCATTTATTAATATCTATATTTATAAATAATTAGAAATATTAATTTTGAATATTATTATATATAATTTTCAAAATTTAATTTACATTTTATACCATAAAACATAAATACTCTTTGATTCAAAATTATAATTTTTCTTGTATAAATTATAGCAAAATAATTTATATTAACTATTTAAATAAACAAGGTTCTAAGAATTATTATTGAAAGAATATTATTCTTTCAATAATTATTGGTGACTTTTACTTAATAAATGCGAATTGAATTGATATAAATTGCAACATTGTTCTCCACAAATATTACATTTCCAGGGATTGCTTTCACTATGACAACCTTTGTGAAGAAAATATAATGTTTGATCAGGAAAGGTAATTCTACAATGAGCGCATTGAAGTCCATTGCTTCGTTGATCGGGCCTTGTTGAACTAGGAGGTTCTCCTCTTGAATGTAGATTTGAATTTGAGCTATTATTACCTATTTCAAAATCATTTATAATTGTATATTTATAGAAAAATAACTACTCTAAAAAATATATTCAATATTTATGTTTACATTAATTAAAGTGTGTATCAAAAATATGAAAATATAAAACTTATGACTTTTATATTTATATATTTTAAAATTTAAAATAATTTATAATAAAATTTCAAAAAATTTTGCTAAAGTACATAATTGATATTTAAAAACCTTAAATTATACTAAGGCATTAATAATAAAAATAATTTTTATAAGATAATAAAAATACCATTATTGTTGTTGTTGTTGTTATTATTTCCTGAGCCAGATGAAAGTTTACGTCGTAAATCATCTCGAAGAAGAGATTTTAATGGCGAGACCTTTATTAAAGATGGTAATGGAAGATTGCTAGATGTTGCTCCATTTTCTTCTGTTCCATTACTATTTAGTTCTTGTTTAATAGGAATTAATGAAATAGAAGGTGTAATTGCTTCTTCACTGCCACCAAGATTCCTTAATTAAAAAATGAATTAAAAGTGAATTAAATTTATTTATTTTTACGATATAATATAACATAATTATATAGTATATTATTATATTTTAATGTATATATTATGATATATATACTATAATTCAATCAAATTTAGCACAATATTTTTGGAAATATAAAAAAAATTTATCAACGAAAGTTGTTCAATAAAGAAGCTATAATATGACAGTAAAATTTTTTTGCAAATGAAATGATTTCAAAAATTTCAAAGATATCTTCATTTTTTTAATAGGATCATATATTTTTTTATATATTAGTTAATGCAATTTAATATTCTTTATAAAAAAATACCAACTTATGTATGCTTATTATATAAAAATTATTAATTTAATAAATATTTCAATTTAAATTTTATAAAATTTATGAGAGATAAAAAATATATAAAATAATATTTATTTCTTTTCTTTTATATATATTTTATATATTTATATTATTTTATATTATTTTATATATTTATATTATTTTATATTATTTTATATATTTATATAATAAATTTTAATTAAAATTAAAATGTCTATTAAATTAATAACTTTTAGACATAAGTTAATTTTTTTTATAAAATTATAAGTATAAATATAAACTATTAACTAATATACAAAAAAAATATATGATCTCATTTAAAAAAATAGAAATATAAATCTCCGAAATTACTCCATTTGGAAATTTTTACTACCATATTATAGTTTTTTCTACAGAATGATTTTTATTAATTAAGTTTTTTCATATTTTCAAAAATAAGAAAAAATATTCAAACTAAAGAAAAATAAGAAAGATATTTAAATTAATTTAATTGGACCACTTTATATGTCTTAATATTATATTAATATTATACATATATTATTATGTATGAAGAACATATAATTTTGATATTATATATCGCGATTTTTTTTAACATAGATTCAAATTTTATATATATTTATATAATTATATTTATATATTATTATATTATTATTTAATATTTAAATTATAATATTAAATTATATAATAATTTTATATAAGTATAATAATATATTGACATAATTACATTGCTAATTATTTAAATGATTCTTTTTATTTTGTTCTATTTATAAACATGCTATAAACATGCTTTAGAACATGCTATTGTGCATGATTATTAAAATATATAATTTAATATATAATTTTCATAACAAATGACAGAAATATATTTTTTTCACAGAAAATTTTTTAAATATAATATTTTTTATTATATTTACTATATGTGAATTATATTATATATTCGTTAAAAATCATTAGATATTAATCAACATATAATTTTTGTGACAAAAGATAATATTTCATTTTGTTTCATAAATTGCATAAATGTATTCTTTTTTGCACACAAAAATTATTATAAACATTTATAAATATGATATTTTGAATTATATTATATAAAACAAATATATTTTTTTTCATATAACACTTCTCATAACACGTCAATATATCATTCATAATATATAATATTATATTTTATTTAGGATTNTATATATTTATATATATTTATATATGTAAAATTGAAAAAATCTATTTCATAATATTAAAATTTTATATTCTTTTTATCATATTTTTCTCGCAAATTTACCACTTATGAGAAAAGTACTGAAAATTAATTTATATAAAAATTTTATATTCATAATATATAAATTATATTTTTAAATCTTTTCTATACCTGTGAATGCCACTACTGTTAATTGGTAACTGATGATGACTACTACTTGGAGCATTACTGTTACTATCTGCACTTTGTGGACTGTTTGGGCTATCTCCATTTAAAGGAGCAGGACTTGGATTTCGTTGACTTGCAATTTGTTCAGGATAAGGAATTGATATTTCTATATGAGGTGTTAGAAAGTGCATTGGTGGAGTCGCATTATCTGCAGAACGATTTCCAGTACTGTCTCCACTATCTGAAAGAGGAGCTGAAGGCATAGCTTCGCCTGGAGCACAGCTATTCATCAATGAACTTGAACTATTTGGTCCTGGATTATCTAGATCTATTCCATGTCTAAAAAAATAATGAATATAAATAATTATTTAATAAAATAAAAAATATAAGATTATTAAAAATTAATTAATTAATCACTAACCTATTAAAAAAATGTAACCTGAGGCACTTCATAGTTGCTGCACGATAATTGCATAAAGGACAAGATTTAACCATATCATGTTGACCAACATGTTCATTTTGAAAATGAGCTCTCATAGCAATTTGTCTTTGAAATCCTCGATTACAAATTGGACAATGATATGGCAAAGTTTTAGAATGTGTTGTAAAATGTTCTGCCAAGTGATCCTTGCGAAAAAATCTTTTTTGGCATACACGACACTCATATGGTTTCACACCAGTGTGTCTCATCTATAAACATTCATTTTTACATTTTACAAAATTATTTTTAATTTTCAAATTTCAATATTTATATTAGAAAAAACTTCATACCTTATGTCGTCTCATGTTAGCTCCATTGGAAAATTGCATATTACATACATCACATTCAAACATTTTCCTATGAGAACGAATTCCAGAATGTGTTTCTTCTCCATCTCCATCATTTTCAGTAGCTTCTATGTTCTCTGTGCTTTCCCCTGGCTCAGCATTAGCCAAACATTGATCTTGATGAGCGCAGAATGCTGTCTTATTTATAGTCTCATAATTTTCACACCTTTCACACCTGTCCACACGTTATGGATCCTTTGATACGCTATTTAAGACCTTGATTATCTAAACGTTTATTGGAATTTTTAAATACAAAAAATTAATTACATGAAGATGACAGACCTAAAAGCTGGTACAGCACCATCACCACTATCATAATTAGTATTTAAGGCAGCTTCATTATCTAAATCCAAGTTTTCTTCATCTCTTGGATTTGAGGATTCTCCAACATCGGCGTGCGAACAGGAATGAGAATCTACCTCGTTTTCCCCGCCGCCAGCATCAACCCCATCTGACATGATATTGAACCCTCCAAATACTATGTTGTTGAACCTGCACCATTCGTCGTTAATTACCTACAATATTAAACAAATATATTTCAATTTAACTTTACTTTGATAATATGAACTTTCAAATCTTAAATTTTCAATATAATATACATAATAAGTTTAGCATAATATACATTAAAAAATTTATATAAGCATACATAATATTCAATTTCATTCACAATTTAATTCAATAATATAAAAGTTTGTATTAATAAAACAATGCCAATAATAAACAATAAAATTATAATTGTAATTAATGAAATTATAAGAAACAAAAAAATATAATAAATATAATAATTCGATTAAGTTTCCAAAATCTCGATGTTTACCTGTCAGTTTCGATCGAGGGTTCGAGGATGACGAGACGATTGGTCAATCCTGAGAGTAAGAGAAAGAGAGAGAAGGAGGAAAAGAGGGGGAGAATACTAGGACATGGAGTGAGAGAGATTCCGGTAAAGCGCAATGCCAGAGTACACTGCACTTTGTCCCAGTTTCGGGGGAATCCGTCACTGGTGACGTAGTTTTCCGCCGATCTGGCTAGACTTGTCACCGTATGGTCGACATTATTCTATGGAAAAAAAGAAATCTATAGTTTTTACTTAATTTTCTTATTTAAATTATGCATAACCAACCATTTCCAATTTAATCTCATTTTAATTTGTTCTTTGTTCAAAAATACACAACACCTTTGCGAACCACTGCACACTGCTTTTTTACTACCTCCTTCTCAATAATCGATTAATCGAAACAATCGAATTCACGATATTCGATTTCATAGTTTTCGATCTCTCAAATCGGTAATATCTGTCGATTTCTTATATATATTGATATAAATCTGTATTGAACAAATGAATATATTTACTACTGAGAGAAATCTATATTTTAATTAAATATATATACTATCGAATAAATAATGCCATATGAGAAACGTGCGCACATAAGATTGATTATATATTTTTGTTTTAAATGAAGAAAAGATATATTATCTCAATATAAAATCATGAAAATATTATGAAAATAATAAAAATTTCTATATAATTTTAATTCTGATATATCTAATATACTATCTTTTACAATGTATTATACATATTAATAATATATTACTTTTATCTAATTAATATATTTTTAAGAAGTATATATAATTATACTTTATAAATTAATTCAATATTAATTCAGTTTTATTATTAACAATGTAAAATTATAATTTTTGAATCATTTTATCTTATATGTCTTATCAAATCTGGATTTATTATAATGTATACTGCTTACATCATATCTTGCAAAATTATTGTATCTTAATATATAATATCTTTCAATATTTCTTAAAAAAAATATTTAAATACATCAAACTTGATACTTGAAAATCAAATTGATAAACAAACGATTTATCGATTTGAAAACATTTTATCAAGGCTCTTTCACATATATATTAATGAAAATTATAGCATGAATAAAGTCAAATATTTCGGAAATAATATGATTTAGAATAAATTATTTCAATATTATACTTAATATTTACTATTTTATTGAAGTTGAACATAAAAAATTGGACATTTTATTTAAAAAAACAAAATTGATTTTTAAATCTTTTTTGCATCCATCTATAAAAAAACCATTGTCATTGCATTGTGTATTTCTTTTTCTGATTATTTTTTTTTTTTTTAGAAAACCATTATTATCTTTATATATATATATATATTAAAATAGTGAAAATTTCAGGTTAATAGATAATATATGGGACATAATATATAGAATATTTGAAATAATAAGAATTTTAGATTATCAGAATTTATGGGACACAACATATAGAGAGAATAATTTTAAAAGATATTTTTATAATATTTTTTTTTATAAAATTTTTTCTATGTAATTTTATATATATATAATATTATATATATGATAATGAATTTATATAATGTTCAATATAGGAAAAGAATAATAACTTTTTCATGATAGAATTGAAAATTTATCATTATATATTTTAAATTATAAAATTTATTCATTCTTAATAATCTTAATATTTAAAATCTATGCCTATTTTGAAGTACATATAAAATATCTTATAAAATATATTTATATATAATCTCTGTTAAAGAATGTCTTTTGAATCTTTGGATATAATTATCTCCCAAATTATTTATTGTTCCAAAAATTATTTAAATAGAACTTATTTCAAGAGAAAATATTAATTATATAATATAATATATAATATAATATATAATATAATTAATATAAGTAGTTTCGATATAGCTGATTTTTATGTTTTAATATTAAAAGTATAAAAAATATATAACAATTATTTATTTTCTTAAATGGAATTATATTTTTTAATATATGAATCAATAGAATTACACTTTTTTTTTAAAGAATCTATTAAATCATTTATAAAAACCTATTATATCATAAAAAATTATTAAAAGATAATAACATTATTATCTCATAAAGAAAATTAACTTATTCTTTAGTATTTTTTAATATGATATCTGAGAAAGATATAAAAGTTTTTTATGTTCATTTGCTTCATGATTTATGTTATATATAGATTAAAAAGTTCATTATTAAATATTTAAAAAAATTATTAAAAATAATATTTAAATAAATAAAAATAAACAATTTTCCATTATAAAAATTTATATATATGTATATATAGTTATATAGTTTATATAATATATAATATATAATATATAATATATTTTCTAATTATAAATTATATATTATTAAATAAATTAATAAAAATTTTTTCAAATGTTAATATAATACTTTTTATAAAAAAAATAATAATCCGTCTAAATAATTGAAATGAATTATTAAAATAAATTGTTAATATTAAATTAATATTGAATAATATTAAATTTATTTTAATAATATCAATAATATTGAATTCAAAGGATTAAGGTCAATATTTTAATAACTTTAAATTAATGAATACTAATTAATAAATTATAATAATTAAATAAAAAAACTAAATATAAAAATTTTGATTTAAAATAATGATATAAATCTTTAATACTGAATATTATAAAAAAGTTATAAAATAAATTAAAACTTTATTATTTAATTCAATTTTATATAAGAAAATATAAATATGTTGATTGAAAATTAAATTTCTAATATTTCATTGTGAAATATAAAAGTATTTAATTTTTATCATTCTATTATATAATTTGATAACTAAAAATTTTAAGAAATCAATGGTTTAAAAATTATGTATAAGTATTTTTATTTATATAAGAATTATAAATTATTTTAAATAATTTTAATTATTTTAAATAACATTATATTGACATTTAGAATCCAATTTCATTATTTGCTAATCACTATATCATTAATCTTTAAATCCTTAAATAAAAAAAAAGATTCTGTTTCTCTTTTACTACACTACATTTTACATATATATTATTATCATATTTCCTACATGGCATATTTTTCTTATTTCAATTCATCATTTAAATCTAATTTGTCAGATTTTATTATGTAACTTTAAAATGTAATCTAAATTTAATTCAAATTGAATCATAATTTAAATCAAAGTCAAATTTAATTATAATCTCAGCCAAATTTAAAACATAATTATAGTAAGAATAATAAATAATTGATATTTTATTAATTTACATAATTCTATTTAATTTAATCTGTCTAAATAATTGTTATCTATGCGTATTTATATATAATCATTAATTTGATCAATTAAACGGTCCATAAATAAATCAAAATAATGCACATAATTTATGTACTAAGTATTTATATTTAAAAAAATGCATAAAATTAATGAACTTTTAAATTTAAAAATATTTTTTTATTTTTAAATATATATATTAACAGAAAAAAAATTAAAAATTATTAAAACCTTAATAGAAAGTTTAGACAGAATTTTTATTTTATATAATAAAATAATTAAAATAATTAAAAAAATGTTTTCTTTTGAAAAATTATAATTTATACATAATATTGATTTTATTATAGGAAGAAATTCACATATTAAATAGTCGATTTTATTTCATAAATATATAAGATTTTATATATATTTATTATATTACATATAATATATATATGTATACATAAATCAATAAAAATATAGAAATTAACTTCTAAAAATGATATAAAATAGTAACTTTTTTCACATATTTTTTATCTTCATAAAAATATTAAAAATACTAAAAGTAATAAGTAATAAGAACGCATGCGTGTAAATCGGTATCTCGGACACCAATGCGTTCATGACAGTATAACGCAATATGTTATCATAAACTTGTTGAGATTTATTTATCTGTGAAGTTATATCTTAAAAATTTAAATTACATGAAATTATTTTGATATTTCTCGATTTTTCTATATTTGGATAATATTGCATTCAAAATTTTAATTTCTTATAAAATCAATTCGCAAAAAAATAAAATCAAATAATAGTAAGTAAAGAAAAATAACAAGAAGAAAAAGGAATCATTATTCTTGGTGAAAGTTCTCCATCACGAAAACTCAATCTTTCATCAGCTACTCATATAATGAACGCAACCAATCAGGATGAAATTCATATGACAACAGTGAGTTCCTTTTTCTTTTTTTTATATAACTTTATTTTTAATTAAACTTTATTTATAGTTATTAATAATATAATATATTTTAAACTATCAGTAAGTTATTCATTAAATAATTTTATTTTGTAGAGATTTATTTATTTATTAACAACTATTTTGCACATTTAAAATATATAAATATAAAGATTTTAAAAATATTTTAAAATATCTTTTTAAAAAATAATTAAATAATAAAAATATTATATATTATATAATTTTATATAACAAAAAAAAATAATTTTTTTTTAGCCTGAATTAATTTCAGCGCATGGTTATAAATCAGAAATACATCATATTTGGACAGAAGATGAATATTGTTTAGATATACATCGAGTTCTACCAAAATCATATCAAAATTCTAATTACAATGTAAGTAAAAATAAGTAAAAATAATTACAATGTAAGTAAATGAAAATTGATAAAAAATCAAAGATAAATATTTATTTTTAAGAGAAATATATTTTTTAGAAAGAATGTTATATAAATTATGCATTTATCTTTATAATATATTCTTTTAAAAAATTGAATTTTAAAAATGCATTTAAAAAGATACTTTATAATGTATCTATATAAGTTATAATAATTTAACTTTCTGTTTATTGAAAGTTATTACATAATAAATTCAAAATATAGTAAGTATTCAAATATTATATTTGTTTATTAATAGTAAGTTAAAATATTAAAAATATTATATTATTAATATTTATTAATAAATTTAATAAATAAATATTAATGACATTTCATTAGTTATTTATTTATTAATTATTATATATTACATAATATGATAAAAGTTATTTTAAATTTATATATAAATTTATTATAAATATTTTTTAAATTTTTTATCTATATTTTATGTTGAAATAATTTAAAAAAATTAAATATTTGTAATAAAATAAAATTTATATCAATATTAAAATATAATAAAAATTTAATATTTAGTATGGAAGTTGTGAAATCTCAACAAAAGGACCTATACCTGTTCTCATTCATCATGGACTACTATCAAGTTCAGCTGATTGGGTATTATTGGGTCCAAAAAAAGCTCTAGCATATATTTTATGTGACAACAATTATGATGTTTGGTTAGGAAATGCAAGAGGCAATGCATATTCTAGAAAACATAAACAATATACAACTAAAG